ACACTCAATTAGTCCCATTGCCTTCAGTCTAATGTTCCTTTCCATCCCTCCTCCAGAATGTCTTTGTCTTACACACAAAAGCTATCACAACACTCTCCAGCTTAAAATGTCTCAGGGTCTTCACTTGACTTCCAGGAGGAGGATGCTGCACCTCTGTTAGGACACGAAAGACCTCATTGCCTTGCTCTTGCCTTTGCCAGAAAATTGTATTCTCTGTCTTTCTTGCATATCAACGCCTATTATTCGTGTCCTTATAACTTTGCTTCTCTTCCTCTTTGCATAGAGAACACCTTTCCTCACTCTCCTTTACTGTAGAAAAGCCTATCAAGTGTCACCTCCTCTATGGAGGCTTCCTAAATGCCTCCTGCTCACGTGCTGCCACATAGAATGGACACCCCACTACAACTATACTCTCCCAGTTCCCTGTACTCACATCTCTCATGGCACATGGGAACTTGACTCTCTTCTCTTTTTCTTCACCTATGAGACCCTCAATCTTCCTTGAGCTCCCTCAGAAAGCTAATCTGATACAAGGTAAGAAATCTATTGAAAACTGATGATGACAAAATGGTTTTCACTCTTATTGAGCTTGAAGGGTCTAGAGTTGCCTACAGTGAGTAGGCAGTTGAATTAATGAGGTCCAGAGAAGCTGGCCTGGTGGGGGGGACAGTTGAAGTAATAGGACCCAAGGAGACCAGAAGAGGAAACCCCGAGAGAAACCTACCACACGATGGTGGCTCCCCTTGCTGCCGAGTTCCTTGGATTTCCTTCCCCTGAGCATCCACACACCAGCACGGCCCATCTGTCTGGCACTGCACTGCCTGGTAGTCCCCATTTCGGCGGCAGCTTGGAACATAGGGGTGACCAAAGCTGGTTGCTGTGAACCCTTCCACTTCACATTTCGTGGGGCCTAGAAGAAATCCATGCAGAAAAGGAGAAGCCAGTGTGTAAACAATGCTCCATGTGTTTACAGCAGGCATTGCTCTCTGCTGCACATACTTTAGTAGAACAGCCACTAGGACTATAGCAACTTTAAAACCAAAGTAGTTTCCCCGAGCAGAAACACGCACATCTGTTGGCAGCTGGTTACTTACATCGGAATCTACCAGAGATGAGAAATTGAACTGCTAGGAACCGTCTCTGCAATATCCGGTACAGGGTGGTTTCAGTGAAGGTAGAAGCAAGGTCCAGGCCAGCAAAAATGGTGTCATAAATTTCATCCAGCAATAATTCCAAACCTGAGCAAAGATGGCAAGCATTTCAAGAATGGCCTCTTTCATGGAGGCCCCCACCTTGCAGTACAAACAGACATTCATCTACACCATGATGCATCAGCTCTGCACAAGACTTTAACAGTTTCCAAAGTCAGGGCTGCTGTGTATGGTTGTGGCAGGTTCACAGCACACGGGAACACTGTCTAAAGAATAAGAGATCGAAATTCATCCTGTGTTCCATTCACCAACCTCAGAACAGCATCTGCCGGGGTTGGGAGCTGGATAACCTCTTTTGAGTGGGCACACAGGCACCATTTGGGCCAGTGCATTCAAAGAACCACATGAGAGTTTGCTAAGACTGTGTGCCGTTCAGCCTGGGTGAGGAGCAGACAGACATTGCCAGTTCAGCTCTGCCGGCCCTGGTGCCTGAGGAACTGCCCTCCCTCCCTCCAGATTGCCTCAGGTGTGCTCACTCACCTGTCTCAGCCAGTTCCCGCCCTTGGCTGTCGGCACAGTGACAGTACCCAGACACCTCTGGGAACCTGCTCCGGAAAGAGCTGAAGGTCACAAATGCATCTGGAAACCTGAGAGAGAATGAGATTTATGATCACCATTTCATAAAGGAGAAGTCATCACCAGCTCTTCCCATAGCAATAAATGTGGCCAAGTTTGCACAAGGAGAAAAGGAACGTCTGCTTTTTTATCTCATGATGGTTGTTCCATGCGTCCTTTAGTAAATGCATTTCTTTTCTAACTTGGCTTTGCCTAGCGGGAACTAGGCTGAACCTTCTAAAACAAAGCCGTGCTTGGCTGTCATCTGCTAATTAGCAGTTTTCCTCACTTAGGGCATTTGACCCCCTTCTCTCCATGTGCATGTCTCACAGGGCCAGGCAGAAAACAAGTCATGAACGTCACATGAACTGGTTCCTTTACTGGAATATAGTCCAGAGACTAAAGGCCGAGTCCGTTTGACAAACATATGGTACATTGTGCATGATGTCATTCTGGAAGATCAAACAACTTCAGGGCCCTTTACAACTTTCCAAGAGCTTGAAAAGAAGCCAGATCCCACTACAGGAAGTCCTTAAGGAGGAAATTTTCCAGTTCCATTGTTGAAAAAACACGAATCAACATTACATCACTAACCAGGGCTGTTGGTCCCTTTGCGTAAATCTGGAAAGGTCTTCCCTAATCATGTTCAGCTTGGCAATTGGTATAAGGAGCTCATCAGCGAGGCGTCCCATCCTGAAAGTAATACTGAGGTCTAGAGAGCTGTGTTTTAGTTCTTTCCCTGTGCAATAATTTAGCAACCAGAGAGGAATTTTTCAACTTTATACAACACCGAGAGCTTTGTTTTCATGCCCCATATTGCTGTACATGAGATCCAAGAATACACGTAGTATGTTTCTACCTATGCCTTCAACTACATCCCCAAACAATAAGTTAGCAGAAACAGCAGCTCTCTGCACTGACAGGTCTACTACTGTGCCATCTATTGTAGCAAATTTGAAAACAACCAATTATAGTAAATCCCCTAAATGGAAGAAAGTGCTATGGTTGAGGATATTTCTAAATTCTTGCCAAAAGAGAGCAGACATAACACCGTGTACGAAAAGTAGACTACGAGACGGAATACACACACTGTGATTCCCTCCAGTGCTGGAAGAATGTGCCGTGCGGTAATCAGACCCTGACAGGGGGGGTGCGGGGGGGGTGCAACACATATCAATTAATTTGAATAAAAATGACTGTGCCAAACAAACAGTGCTACAGGATTATGGAGAGGTGTTTTCATCCCCATGTGGTTGGTCTATTACTCTGTGTATATGGCTTAAATAAAGAATATTACAGTAAATGAGTTGCATATTTGAAATTAAAAGCCCACTTTGCCTCGTTGTTACTGACACGGGGTGTACAACGAAAGTTCATTATTAGAACCCGGGATAATTCAACTCTGAAAGTGCTAAAAAGAGTGTAATAACTGCCTCCATTTATTGAGCACCACTTTGTAAAAAATTATCTGCAAAATGTTTAATACACATTGACCCATTTAATCCACTTAACAATTGTAAAAGAAACGAGCGCTAGAGACCATGAGGGTGAGGTCTTGAACTCAGGGAGCAAACCCGGGCTCCACACCTGGCCTTACCCCAGGATACCTGTCTCAGGCAGAGCTGCAGCCCAGCGTGCATCTGGCTGCACCTGCCTGTCCATACCCTGCAAGGGCTGCAGCTCTGCTCTGACTCTCTGCTCTTATGTCCACCACTGAGCTTTCCCTGCCATCGAACAGATGCTGATAACACAGGTACTGCCTAAGGTGGCTTCTCATACCCATTCCAGTGTGAGGCTCAAGAAGTTGAAATCACTCTAGTCCCATGCTCCACTGATTCAACACAGAGGCCCACCTCCACACCCTGGCCACAGGCAGATATGACCTCCAGGCTCTCTGAGTCACCTTCATCCACCACTTAATGTTGAGAGTTCCTCTCTTGGGGTTTCTGCCCTCACAAACTTCCCAGAACCCACACCTACATTTTGGGTGGGCCTCACTCTTGGTCTCCCTGCTTCCTACATATTGGAGATGGCCCTGGCTTTAGGTAGAGAGAGGATTTTCTTCACTCCCAATAAAACCACCCCAAAGCCAGCTACTGCTGCCTGGACTTGCTACAACTGTCACCTGTTGACCTTTGGGGCCAACACTCCATACTGTCATCTTTAATCCTCCTTGCCAATTCTATATGTGGTAAGAAGAGCTAATATGATTATCACTATTAATTACTACTTACAAAAATAATAACAGGTGATATGTTTTAAATGATCAGACACTACTCTCCATATTTTACCTCTTTTAATTCTCATAACGATCCTTTAAAAATCTCTGTGTCAGGGCTCGGCACCTGTGGCTCAAGCAGCTAAGGCGCCAGCCACATATACCTAAGGTGGCGGGTTCGAATCCCCAGCCCGGGCCCGCCAACAACAATGATGGCTGCAACCAAAAAATGGCCAGGTGTTGTGGCGGGTGCCTGTAGTCCCAGCTACTTGGGAGGCTGAGGCAGGAGACTCGCTTGAGCCCAGGAGTTGGAGGTTGCTGTG